AGGGGCGAATATGAATAGAAGATCTGACATGAACAATGAATGGTCAACTGAAGGGTTTTTCTACTTTGAAATTTTGTTTGGCTTGCTTGTAAGTAACTAAGAACGTAGTTGGGCTTTACCCTGTCCCGCCCCCATTTCAGGGCATCCAGGGAATACTGTTGAAGGATCGATTTAGGCCAGATCCTCCATTCTGTTTTCAAAAAGTCTTTTAAAAAGCTCTTCAATTCCTTTGTTTAGTTTCTTTTGGTTCCAGTTTCTTTTAATGGTATCAAAGTTGAAATTTCTCGGGAAAAATTTAATTCTTAAATCCTCATAAACTGGACAGACAGTAAGTACGTGTTCGATATCTTCATAAGTTTTACAAACTTTGCAGTTCGGGTCTCTCCCGAACAATTTTGACTGATAACTACCTTGGGCTCCATGGTTAGTTAGAAATTGATTGATATAGAAGTTGGAGTAGATTTTTCGAGTGCTGACTTTTGGGATAAATTGGTAAGTATGTCGGTCTTTTGTATCATCACTATCCCATCTTTGCTGCCATGTTAAAAAGTTTTTCTTCATGAGTTCTGTTCTTGTTGTCTGTTTTGATGGTATGTCATATAGATCTATTGTTGATTTTTGACAAGCTAATTTCGCCTGTTTATCAGCTTCCTCATTGCAAACATATCCTTTGTGGGCTTTAATTCAGTGGAATTTAGTAATATTTTTGTAAGTATTTTTTATCATTTGAACAAGGTAATCATTCGTGTTTGTGTTGCTAAGGGCTTGAATATTGGAGTGTGAGTCAGAATAGATGTTTGTTTCGCTATTGATATTATTTTGGTGTATCCAGTGGAGTGACTGAAGTATCGCCCATAATTCTGCTTTGAAAACTGTTGAATAATCTGTAAGTTTGAAGTTGCGAGACTCTACAAGACCACCATCAACATATACTACGAATGCCCATCCCACTTTGTATTCGCCGTTATAAATTAGCCTGGATCCGTCAGTAAATATCTCAACCAAGAACGTGAGACGGTTTTTACAGCAAAAAACTGAAACATAATTTTCGTGTCTGGCTCTTCTCGAATTTCGCCAAAACTCTCATCGCACAAATGGCGACTTTATCGAATATTGTCATCGAACATTTCACTTTACGATATTTCAGTTCATTCTCAAACGATCAGATTATTCCCACAGGACATGGAAAACATGGAATTTTTAAAATCGGAAAGAAGGGCGAAACTTCTTGTTCTCAATGTTTATATTTATCATTTGCGAAGAACTAAAGATAATTTTAGTTTCTGGCGATGTAAGCACCAAAGTTTAGACACTTAATGTAATCCACGTGTGGCATTGATAAATTATATTACTCTAATAACTATATCGTATATAATATAAATATATCTACAGTAAAATTTTCTATAAAACATTTTAAGGAACAGAAACTTTTTCAATATCTATAATTGTTTTTGAAATTATTATAACGTTGCTGATAACTTTAGATGCATAATTAAGAAACATATTTTTATTTCTTTTCTTTATTTTTCTGTTCTCCATGCGAATCTTGCAAATATGGAAATTTTCATTTAAATATAATAAGACAAAAAGATATTCTTACTCTTGCGTCTATTAAACTGAAATAAACTGGAAAAAAAAGTTACTGAGGAAGCGAAATTTGTTAAGATTAACATTTAAACATTTAATAAAATATTAAATTACAAATAAAAGGCAGAAAAAAAACTTATGCTTAACTTTTTTTTTCTGCTTTAAGATTCTCTTTCTGTTTTAAGATTCAGCTAAATTGTTCTAAAGATATACAGTTATATTCATTCGCTATTATTAAACTAGCGTTATTTGTTTTTATTCAAATAGATCTTTTAGATTATCCTAATATATACTATTAATTCTACTTAAAAAGTTTTTACCGGATTAAAAAGTTTTTAACGGATTTATGCATCTTGTGAAAAAGAGAAACTATTTCGAATCACTTTCGCATAATGACAATTGCATACATTATAAATCATACAGGGAAAAAAATTCGCCGTCAATCCGAAAAACAATTGGAAATATTTTGTAATTAAAAATTTGTCTAATAAAAACTATTTGCACTGTGTTAATCTATCGCATCGTGTTTAACTACTAACACAAATTTGTAATTAAAAAAATAACGAATAATCCTGTTGACTAGACCAACATCAATGAAATTGAATAACTAAAAAATTTTAGCGTAAAATTTTTGTATAAAAAATAAAGTGCGACGACTTAGTACCCTTGTCTTCTGAGATGGGTTCAATATAAGAGAATAATACGAAAATCGCAATATGTAGAACGGAAGCTTTTTCAATATTATCGTTTTTGAATTTTTGAATTATTATTAAGTTTCAGATAAATTTAGATGCATAATTAAGAAGCCTTTTTCTTATTTATTTTCTTAATTTTTCTATTCATCTTTTGAAAATGTGAGAATTTTCATATAAATATTTCAAGGCATAGTTATATTTTTAATCCAATAACTATAATATCGAAATATGATAGATTCCTTTTCTTTCATTTTTTTAACTTTGTAGCATTTTAGAATAAAATTTATTAAGATTAATATTAAAAAATTTCTAAAATCACATTTAAAAAAAAAGTTTTAGAAATTGTATTCAAAAAATACTTGACTAAAGAAATTTTGACATGCTTTATCTAAGTCAATTTCATCTTCTATTCATGTTATTTTTAAATCTTTTTTAATGTGTTGATTTTTTTAATGCAACAATATTATTACTATACGCGATATTCGAACAGTTTATTAATTTTTCGAGCTTTGTTTCTAATTTTTGGTAGCTTAAAAAGTAATTGAAAAACCATTTTAAGATATAACATTCATGAAATTTCTTATAGTTCACTGAATATCGATGTCCTAAAGTTAAAAATATATTAAAGGAATGCTGAATCTTATTTTGCTATAATACGTTTGTTTTATGGATAAAAATAAGCAAGCGGGCAGAAATAAGCTCATTTTCGGCATATTTTTTGTTTTCTGTCCGGGCAGAAATAAGCACCCCTTGACTTTCATTTCGACGCCACTTCCATCCCTTATACTACGCGGCCTAATACTTGCATGGAATCATATTTGGATAAACGGATTTCATAATAATTTGGAAAATTTTTTCAATTCCCTTAAAGAGCTCTCGAGATATGGTAAAATACACAAAAAGAAATAACATTACCAAACTTTGAATCGTACTTGTGTACGGCAACCACTTATATTTCGTGAGTCAGAAATCTGAATAAAAAAAGGCATGCTTATTCACAGAAAGTGCGTTTTTGTGTATGATTTCGTAACCTGAAATATCGTCTGCGCTAATTAACTAGCATAATTGAGGTCACTCCCTCGAACTACTAAGAATGAGTACTAGAAAGTGAAGATGCTATCATTAGATCAAAAGTTATTCAGGGTTGTCCCTTTCTTCTTTTTCTCTTTGATGCACTGTAATTTTAAGTGGTATGATTTTGATGAATTTTGAGTGCGTCTGAAAGATATCAACTGTTTTTTAAAATTTTTAAATCAACATTTTTTTTTTCTTTTTCTTACATCTTTTCGGCAATATTTTTGATATGTTTGGCCCACCATATTCACTTTAACGAAAAGTTAAAATAAGAACACTTTCAAGGTTGATTTTACTAAACCTATAATTTGAAATGGATTATTTTTATGATATCATTCATAATGGATCCGTCGATTTAACACATCATCAAGTAGTTACTTGCAACGACAAAAATCTTTTTTTTTTCTTAAAAATTTAATTTTATTTACCAACACAGTTTAAAAAGCTACATCCCTCGCTATATTTGATTTTAGATAAAATTCTTAATTGGTGTTTTCTTTATTTTTTTAACTCAACAAAATTTTGATGGCAGTGAGTTATTTGACAGAAAAGATTAAAAATAAAGAGATTGCTTTATTATATTAAGAGAAACATGTAAAACAGTACATCATAAATTTTAAAATTTCTATTGTTTTTTTTTTCTCAAAAATGTAAAGATACAATGATACAATTTGTGATTTTGAGTGAATCATTTAAAACTACACATATATCTGTTTTTAGATTTTTTAAAATGTAATTTTATTACAATATAAGCTACTGAAAACCGATTTGACTGATGTTAAAGAAAATTTATTTTAATTATAAAAAATCAAAAATATAAAAGCAGAAAAATATATAATACAAAACTACCTTTCAAAAAAAGAAGATTTTATTATTTTATCACATAAAAATGATTAACGAACCTAAAATGTCACTAACGTTATATCTCAAATTGATGACGAATACTGCCAAATAGAATCAATTAATAGATGAAATAAAAAAGGAATGATGAGAAAAATCGGATGAAAAAGACCCTCTTAACACTCTCTTTTTAAATTAAATCCTTAAAAATTACTTTCTTCTTATTACATCTTTCAAAACTACAATATTATAGAGTTTACGAAAAATTGTCGTAAAAATGTTCATTTTTTTTCAATATAGAATTAAGATCATAAAAGTTATCAGAAAATTGAAATTTGAAAAATAATCACATAAAAGCAAAATTGAGAAAATTTATTTTGGTTAAATTATAATTTATTTTATGAAATACTAAGGTAAAACGTGAAATAACTAATGAAAATATGCAAAATATTTACTAGAAATGAAGTTGAGTATGATAAACTTCGAAACAAGGTTCGTGGTAAAGTCAATTGCTGTCAGCGACAAAAATATTGTCAGAAATGTAGGTTATATTACTTCCAAAACATTTCCTGTCAGACATCATTGATCTTTGAAAAGTGCGCGCTGCAAAACATGCTTGTATATTTCGCAGACATAAAGACATTTAACGCCATCTGTTAACCCAGTTCTGAATAAACAATTCGGTTTGCTACTTCTACGTTGGCCGTGGAATTCGTTGGCTACGCAGTGAGAGACTATAATAGCATGCAAGAACTTTCTTAATTAGTTAATTTAAAGCATAAACTTAAAAATAAATAAATTCACCTGTCTCTCCGTAAGAGTTAGTAAGGATGCTAGTCTTTTCCTTTCCGTGGGTGATAAGTATTTCTGTTCAGAAAAGGTCTTTTCTAATTTTCCTGTTTGCTCACTAGTAAATCGGATTTGACCACCTTTTCTTTTCAGAGTATTTCGAGGCAGAATATGTTTCCATAACAGTGGACGGGATTCTATTGATAAAAACACAAATTAAGATAGTTATTTATTTAAGTGTTTAAAAATACAGTCAAACCTGGTCATTACGAAATTGAAGGGAGACAGTAATGAAAAATTGGGCTATTTAAAATCGGATACTTTAATCGAATTTTAAAAATTGCATAACATGTATTCATTTAAAAAATATCATACATTCCAAACAATGTAAATATCGTAGTTTTTTCATTTGTTTCTCATTCATCATTTGTTGAAGATTTTCTGTTTCGTCGTCTTCTTTTCTGATATATTTGCGGTTTAAAGGTTTGAGTTTGAAAGGAACACCTGGATATATGTAGTCAAAAATCTCGCCAATCAATTCAATCGTAATATGATTGAAAAAATTACCGCCCCTCTATCATACGGATTAGCTGCGTATCCGTAGGATAGAGGAGCGGTGAGTATGCTCCGTAAATCGAAACTGAAAAATGAAATAAGAACTAGATCGCTCTTATTGTGGCTGATATCGATGTCTTCATGAACTTGTTTAATTTCTAAGTCACCCTTACTAAAATTTAAAGTATTTTTGAGGTTTGTAAGAAAACAACCCTACAAAAATTATACCTCATAAAGGTTGTAATTGAAGTGTACGAGGTTGTTTTACATACACTTTGTCATATAGCAGACTATTGGTGACTTACAATATAAGACATGCCCTAAAAGACAATATTAGGGAAAGTTACACACAGGTTAAATTACAATTTACAAAACCCTAAATTAAACAATAAAGTTTACCAGATATTTCTGATAATTCTTTTTTTTTTTTTTTTTTTTTTTTTTTTTTTTTTAATGAATGGAAAGAGAAAGTTAGTGCTGATTTTTTTAACTCTTATAGGAACAAGGTACTTGTTAATTGATTACTTCTCAAAATACATTGAAGAACAACCCATGAATAGACAACCACTGCTTGCGTTGTCAATACAATGAAATGTGTATTTCATTGTATTATTAAAAGTGCAATGAAATGTGTATTAGACTGAAGAATCTTGCCAGTGATGGTGGCCCTCCATTCGAAGGAAATGAATACAAGACTTTCTTGGACAATTAGAACATTTTCCACAGTAAATCTTCACCATATTGGAAATGTTCTAATTGCCAAGTTGAACGAGCTATCCAAACCTCTAAAAATTCAATGAAGAAAGCAGATGAGGAAGGTAAAGACCTACATATATCTTTATATATGTAGTCCTGTTGGACTACAGTATTACACCAACACAAGGTCTAAAATCACCAGCAGATATCATAATGGGGCGGCGCCTGCGATCCTTTATTCCATCTCTGCCGCAAAATCTTCAAACAAACTTTGACATTAAGGAAGAGGAAGCACAACTGTTAAAAAGACAATAAGATCAAACGAAATATGCAGGCCGTGGACGCAAACCATTACCTGAATTAAAGTTGAATTAACATGTTTGGTTCAAGTTAAAACCAAAAGAGCCATGGATTATAGGAAAAATAATAAGGAAAGACTAATTTTAAACATATACTATCCAATCAAAATATTGAGGATTATGTAAGAAACCACATTTTCAAACACCCGTTCAAAAGTGATACTGATACCGGTGGATAAAGCAAGTACCATAATGTAAGATGTCGGTTCAATTATTGGAAAATAAAAAGTGTTAAAATATCCTAATAAGATTGGAATTATGTATTTGAATTTCTATAAAGGTTGTTAATGGTAGTACTTTCTTCAGTGTATTTTATTTTGTGGCTGTGATACCTGCTGCCATACTTTTAAAAGCTTTTAGCTGAACTAAATAGGGGACTGAATAGAAATGACAAAAGTGGAGAGCCATTTATCTAAGAAAGAAAAATTAATTTCATCCAGTTAACTTAAATCATGAAAAAATGATTTCTAATTTCTTTATATTTTAATATTTTAAAACCTGTCGTTATTGTTTTCTTTTAGGTTCCAATATTTCCAAGTTTTAACAGGGAGACAAAATTAATATTTAAAATAATTTTGTTGGTTTGTAAAAAAAAAGGAAATTTTAGTTTTAAATAAAAGTATTTTGACTGTCAGCTGACTAATTATTTAAATTTGCAGCTTTATAGCTTTAAAAATTCAAGCACTTTAGACATCTGCCTTAAAAAAATTTTGAGTTCCCCCAAATAAGTTTTTTTTAGCTGTGAAATTTGAATAAGTGTCATATGTATTTGAAACCTTCCTTTATAGCTTAACAAAAGAAGCAATTACTGCTGATGGTGTAATATTTAAAATTTCAAGGTTGATAAATGTAGATCTCTACTTATGAAACAATTTAAAGATATACGCTATTCTTTATATAATATAAATAATAGCGAGGTTAAAAATTAATAAACTATGATGTATAACACTTCACGTTTGTGAATTATTAACTTCGTATGTATTAAAAATATTTGCTTTTTTAAATTGTTGGTGATATTTCAATTCTTCTAGATAGAACCCTTAGATGAAAATAAATTGCTTCGAAAATTAATTCAATTTAAAAGAATTGCTTCGAATTTATAATGCTAAAATAAAAATAAAAAATAATCGAATTTTTATAATTTATTTTTTAAAATGATTTTTAGTTTTTCTCTGATTGACAACGAAAATTTTGAAAATTAATTTGCTGGGGGGCAACCAGTGCGTATGCCCATGATACACATAATGTACGTTTTTTGCTTCTTTTAAAAAATTAATTTTATTAGAGCATAATGTTCTATGAATTTAAAATTACAAAATTAAGACTTTACGCATGCGCTGAAATTGGCAAACTGCCTAACTTAACGCGAAACGTGCTCTAACAAGGAGAAATGGGGAGAGTTCGATTAAGTGCTGGAAACTGGAATTAATAAATTCGCACGAGAATGGATTACTCCATTTCTTTTGAAAATGATGAGGAGAGGCACTGTGAGGGAGCTGAATGCTATCCATGAATGTCTCCATCTGATAGTGCTTTTAATGTGTTACATAATTGCTTATGTTGAGCTATATCTGATGATTTATAAACAAAAGGTATTTTCATACAAATAAATATTATCGCAATTATTTATATAACTTATTTCAAAATGTATTTCTTAACAATTATTTCTTCATAAGAATTAGATTAAATTTTAAATAATAAACTGTAACCGTTTTTAATAGGTTAGTCTTGATTAATCAGTAAACAAAATTTAAATTTATCAATTAAAGCATAAATGAATTAAAATGGGAATTTTAAAAAAAAAAATTTCAAATAAGTATTTATATGTAAATAAATATTTTCTCAAAGCTTTGAATATACTTCAATTTTGTTTTTAATTTTTTAATAAATTCTTTATTATGATTAATCATTACAATCATCAATTACAACCATTACAATATATCAATTTAATTAGATTTATTTAGCTCTTCATTATATCTAATTGTGAATTTTTGACTCCATTTTCGTGTTTAAAAAATTTAACACTGAAAGAAAACTTAAATTTAAAAATATTAGTTACGCCTTAAAAAAATTTTCAGAGCATTAAAATGTTATTTTTAAAAATTTAGTACTTAATAGAAATATTTAAATAAAGTATATATTTAAATCTGATATTGTTAGATGGCGCCACCATATTAATTTCAGAATTCTTAATATAAAAAAGGAAAAGAGGAGCATACGGAATACATTCTACCTTACCCACTTAAAAAAAAAAGGTCTTGCATAAATTGTTTAGACAAATATTTAAAAAAATGAACAAAAATATTAATATTAATGAATAATTATTCATATTTTACAAAATTTAATTACTTTTTTAAGCCTATGTCTGACTGAAGTATTGAAAAAGTACATAAATTTCAAAACCAATATTATTTAGCTAGCAGATTTGGAAATTTAATTATGCAAAGAATTTAATGGATTATTTGTAATATTCCATGAAGAATTCTTTTGCAAGAAGATGTTTATAAATTTACGAGTATAATATTGATTTATGGTGTTGTATAACTTCAATATTTTGAACAAATATATTTCGTCAACTGTTATACTAGCTTGTGAAAAACAGTTTTAAATGAAATGTACTTTAATCATGCGTATTTAAATTGAAATTAATATTTACTTAGAAATAATATTCAACTACCGCTTCCACACCTCTGAGTACTACCTACAATTCGAATTATATTCTTCGCTTGAAATGAAATTAAACAATTTAAAATTACAGCCATAATTTAAGAAAAAAAATCGAAAGGATCATCAATATTTTTTTTTCAGTATAACATAAAACAATTAATTTTCGATATTTTTTTCAAAAATTTCAAAATTTGAGACTTTTTTTTTGGGGGGGGGGGAGGAGTCCCAAAATTATATATAAAATTTGTTTAATTTATTTCGGAGGAGCAATTATTAAGTTATGAAGAATCAAAAACTATTATTTTTACCTTAAATACATTTTACTTTATTCAGCAAATTAAGAGCATTCTTGGCTATAAAAGGTTATTTTTCTTCATATTCGGAAACTTAAATATTTGCGTTTTGAACGAGTAGGATTAAATCACAAAATTAAAACAAAAGACAAAAGTCATAATATATTATTTAAAAGGCATAATTTTGCAAATATTTTTGATTATAAAAATTTACTTGCTGAATTTGAACTCAAATGCGAAATCATTTGAAAATAATCTTTAAATATCTTAAAAGTGATGTTTTTTTTTCCTGCTATATTATTTCTTTGCGATTCTTTACGATTTTTTCCCTGATTTTTAATTATGTCTGCAAGTAAGACAAAAATGAGAGTCCGGTGTTGGAAGAATCAGAGAAAGAATTCAAATAAGGAAGGAAGAGACGGAAACGGATCCATTCTGTAACGATTTTTATTTCTTTCCGTTCATATTTTCTAAAACTATTATTGCATGAATGATCAGAAGTTTGTACTTCAATGTTGCTTTGAAAATTATAATAAAAGTTTTTAAAGAAATGAAATTAAATAGAGAAAGGGTATAAAAATCTCTTATAAGCAACTTCATTTTTAAGTTTTATATATGGGTTTAGAATAAAGAAAAAACGGATACCTTAATAACTTCTGATCTAGTTGTCATATTTCCATATACTGTGATGCAATCTTAATAGTTTGAAGTTTTAAACTGAAATATGATATGTGATGTCATTATAGGCATTACATATTTCCAAGCTTTTAAAATTTTTTTAAAAATTTTTAATCATTCTTAATCTTGTTATACTTAAATTAAATCATTTATTTAATTTTTATCACATATTAAGAAAACGGATATAATTACTTTTATTCTTTTCTTAACAGTCAATGTAACAGCTAACTTTTTAATGCAATACAAGTGTGTAACTCATTAATTCAGTATCGCAACTATTCGAATAGCAAAATCTTCTTCTTTTTTTTTTTTTTTTTTTTTTTTTTTTTTTTTTTTTTTTTTTTTTTTTTTTTTTTNTTTTTTTTTGATTTCTTTAAACTACTTTATTTTTCTCAAGGCCGTGCTTAGGAATGAGCGAACTGGGCGACCCCCCAGAGCCGCTAAAAATTAGGGCTGCTAAATCTTGGAAATGTAAATCTTAAAACTACATTTGCTAAAAATGTAAATTTTTACTTCTCCTCGTTTTTATAATCCATTTGAGTTATTATAATTCCAAATGTGTCTAGTTTCATTTCGATTAATGTTCCCTTATATCAGGAGTGCAATTTTTAAACTATGAACACTTTTAGTCAACATGCAACTTTCACGTCATAAAAGTTAAAAGACTTAGATAAAAATTTTCCTTTTTTCTTTAAAATAAAAGAGCTTAATTAAAATTTCACTTTCGCGTTTGATTAGCAAGAATCCTAAAATTGTAAATTTAGATTAAAGTTTAAAAACTTTATAAAGTATTTTTCAAAATAAATATAGATTTAAGCTTAAAAATTACCCATTTTTCATGTCAAGCTAGCACTTCTACAACAAATTAGAATGCATAAATTTCAACAACAATTTTTTTTTCTTTATTAATAATGTGATTACCTGTCTTTTGAACTAAAATCTTTATAAAAATTTCAAAAATTACAATAAATTAGAACTATCTTACATAACATATCCTACGGTCCTCTATGAATTTTGAGCAAACGATACTTCAAGTTAGAAGCGTTTCTTTGACGAATTTCAACTCCTTGAAATATATCTGAAATATATGTTTTCAGTAATTTAGTTAGGACCGAGACGTTTTTGACAGCTACCAAATTTTCAAACCTTTCCATATAAGAGGACATTTTTTCTTTATCAATAACATAATTTTCAAAGGGATTGATATTCGGGATAGATTCTGAAATAATCGGAAAATATTTTTTGTGATTTAAGTTCTTCAATTAACATGTTTGATTTTGTGCAAGTATATTGGCAAAAGAAAAGGCAATAATGTTTCAAATTGTATTGCATCCATTTGGTGATACAAGAAATGGCACAAATTCATACAAAGTGAAATGTCAATTTAATGAGAGAAATTTTTTTTTTTAATACTGAGTTATAATTTTTTTTCAATAAAGGAAGTTATGTCATTCATATAAGGAAAAAGAAACTGCGGCAAATGAATGCAAAATGGCGATTCGAAAATTACGAAATGCTCTTATGATTTGCCCGGTGGCAAGGGGGATCTGTTAACAGACAGCAGCTGAGATACAGCACTGAAGTAGGCAGCTTGGTGAACTAGTATTTGAAGCAAGCAGGATTGGGTCGCCTCATTTGGAGGCTCCCTGATACATTCCGGGTGACAATTCAACCATTTCAGGTTGCCCCTCTATAGGAGTGAACTCCTGTAAAATAATCCTGTGAAATAAAAATAAAGAAATCATACATACCAGAATTTGAGTTAGCCAAACCAACAATAGATGAATGTGTAATATCATTTTCAAGATAAGGTCGAAAAATTGATGAGCGAAAAATGTGTTCGCTTCTCGTCAATGGTGAATTATTTGTTGGAAATGTGAATACATTATGTTCCTGACATATTGCAGGAGAGAAAAGTCCCATAAAACTAGCCGGAGACATAGGAGTTGGCTTAAGAATTGTATGACAAGAGTTAATAATTTCTGGTTCAGTTGAAAGAAGTTTCAAGTTATTTTCAGAAATATCTGTGTTTTTTCCCAGAATTGCATCAATCATGAAAGATGATCCACCTTCAGTTTGCTTCTTTGTATCCGCCATTTTAACATATTTTTGCTTCAGAATCATCTTTGATAAAAAAAGAAATCAGTTGCAAATCATGCTAGAAACAGGAATGAAATCTGAAAAAGATAAAATGGTATTTTAAAGTAAGGCTACTATGGTAGACATCTGAAATTCGATCTGCTCCGAAACAAAGAATGCGATGTATTATGTACTGATTAATATTATATATTATAGTTACGTATTAATATTATCTATTATATTTTTCAAAATTGCTAATTTTGAAAAGTTTTGCTCCACCCTCCTATAATTAAAATATAGATTAGATTTTTACTTAATAATGCATCAATTTCTGTAAACGAAATACATTTTTCTTGTTTATGTTTGAGTTAAAACATAATGTAAATGAACAAATATTGAAAAATGCTTTCCCGAAAAGAAGGCTTACTTTTAAAAACAGGATTTTCATCTATCCGCCAATTTTTTTCAATTTCAACCAGAATCTATATAAAAGAGGGTCGATGAATAAATAATTTTGGTGTTCATAACAATTATCCTTATTTTATCAATGTTTAGAGCTATGTCATCAAATAAGCCCCAATATACTTTTTGCTTATTTCGCCGTAACTCGAGAACTTTTTAAACAAATTAAAAAATTGTTCATCCAAAAATAATTTTAATAAAAAATTAACTTTTAATAATTATTTATTATTTTATTTAATAATGCTTTAAAAATTTTTGAATTTTAAGGTATGCAAAATTTTACAAGGCAAAATATAAAATTTTAACGAAATTAGTCAAATAGTTCCTGAGAAATCAAATTTTAAGTATACGATTTTTTCTAAAATTTGATTTCTCATGAAATATTCGATCGAGTTTATTCAAATTTCGTATTTTGCCACATAAAATTACATTCTTTAAAATGATGTAAAACTTTATAAGCCTTGCAATTCAAAATTTTTCGACTATTATTAAATAAGATAATAAAAGATAAAGATAATGAATAATTATTAAATCGTTTTTTATTCATGCAAATAATTTCAGATAAACGAATTTCGTGCAAAAAGTTCAGAATCTATTACGAATATCAATCCCTTTGAAAATTATGTTATTGATAAAGAAAAATTTTCCTGTTATATGGAAAGGTTTGAAAATTTTGTAGCTGGCAAAAACGTCTAGGTCGCTGTGAAAAAATCCCAGCTCTTGCGTTCTTCTATAGGTTCTGTGCACTATAACAATTTGTTTGCTTTTCTCGGACCAGAAGAATTATTGAAAGACTTGAAATATGACGAACTTGTTCAATGCTTCGCCGCTCTTGCCAGAGAAAAATATTATAGTGTCGCAACATTATTTTTTATCTGCATATCAAAACGAAAAACTTTACTAGTTGCCAATATTTCTTTTTGTCAGTACAATCATTTTAATTAAAACTTATTTTATCAACACAATGTTTTCAGCATTAATCCAATAATTTTTGCGATATTTATGATAGTACGGAAATATATTTTAAATCGATGTTAATAAGTGCAATACATTTTGTAATGCTTGCTAAATTATTATTATTATTATTTTAGATACGTTATTTTGAAATCATCTTCAACGGCATAAGTATATATGCTTTTTTGCTTAATTTATGTTGAAGATTCATCACCATGAAACTGGCGAGATCTACGAAAAAATATTTCGAAAGCCTTTCTGCAGTATTTTAAAATTTGTATTTAGACTTGACTTTACTTTTTTAAGAGTCATTATCTCGCAGTAAAATGAATCAGTTGATGCATGGTCATAAATGATGCATGTCATGATGCATATCAATTTCTTTATTGTTTCATATTAGATCTAGTTATGCTTTCCTGAAAAGAAAAAAAAACGAAAGCAAAATTTATTAATCTATGTAGCCTTGGAGAAAGAAAATAACTGCCTTTTTTCCCTATTGATAGTTAAATTCTTTTGTAAGCATTTAATTTATTTGCTAGCGTATTGTTGATTCTAGTTGCCTTGGAGGTCCAGTTGGTAGTGCATTGGAATACTTTTTGCATTTATTTTCAAGCTAGAAACAATTCTATAATATATGAAAGAATTGTCAAACTAGAGATGAACATAGACACTGCTAGTAGTTCCTGCTTTATGCTTGGGTCTTTTTTAGTTCGTGTAATATTTTCAGTATAAATATTTGTCTTTTAACTTAAAAATATTAATATTAATCATAGTTCATGTCTTTTTTTTCAGCTGCAGCCTTTAAAATGGTTCAAAGAAGTTAGTCGCTCAAAAATTTTTGCTATCGATAGCGAGTGGGAAAGCAAAAAGACTGAATTCGTCACAACTGACTCAGAGTCTTTATTGCTAGAAATAATTGATCGTATTAAAGAATACAATAAATTATAAAAAATTAATATATTATTCCTTACTGTTTAATATAAATTATACTTCATTTATACATTTGACTATCATATACTAGCCTTAATTGTCAAATTCAAATTAAATTGTCAAATATTTTGACAACACTTTTTACTCGACAAGCACCAAAAGTAAATTAGATTGCAACTAACTTTAAAATATTATTATTTTGCAAACTTTTACCCTGTTTTTAATCAGAAATCTGAAAATGCAACTCTTGTTATTATATTATGATAATTTCAGTGTAAATACTGCTTTTTTAAATCAGATTTTTTTAAAGCAAACCTGATGTTGTGAAGATAATGAATAATTTATAAGCTATCTCATTGTATAAATATTCTCAATAAGATTTTGCTTTTGATCAAAAAATATATATTTAGTTTAATCGATATTGAGAATTAAAAACTTGTCACAAAAGCTATTCGCGAATTGTTTTTAGGTCTTCATTTAAAATTAAATTGTCTACTCTATCAGAAGAATATAAAAAAAGGTGTGTCGCCAGCAAAATGTATAATTTTAACTCACGAAAATTCTTATTAAAAAAATAATAAGGGACTCAATGTTGAACTTCGGAAAATACCACGTATCATTGGCAGCATTTCACTAAGTGTTTGTTAATTTGCATTTATGTTTGTTAGTTTTTACAAACCGAGATTGATTTGATAAGTATCATTTAAGAAAGTTATTACAGTTTCCTCTTACTTCTATCGAATACAATTTATATAGCAATATATTGACAGCTACGTTTCCTTGATTTTCATCTACATTGTAGTAGATAAATTTTTCAAATTTAAGTAACGCTTCTACAATGCTTTATTTGGGTAAAAAACCATACTGATTCTTAAAAAAAATCATTGTTATGCAGATTAGTAAATCTTTAATAATATATTCAAGACACGGTTTATATTTTCAAAAATCATTCATTTTGTCCTTTTTAAATATTGGAGTAATCTTTGCAGTTTTTAGTTATGCCGAAAAGGATTGTAAAATAAGAAATTTATAAAGCCGATGTGTGTTCGAATTTTTAAAGCATTTGGGTCAATTCCATCTCAACTTTCTATTTGGGGGTCTAGATTTCTAAGAACTTCGTATTCTTCAATTTCTAAGCATTGAAATGAGTCGACATTATATAGCTTATATTTAGAATACAACAATAATTCAAGATAAACACAAGCAAACGTAGATAGCCAAGTGAGTAGGGCGCTGGGCTTATGTCCGAGAGTTCGTGGGTTTGAACTCCTCCGGCCGAAGATTCCCTGTGTAGTAAATGGTGACTGATACACGTCAAATTTGTCGAGTCGCAAAGTCCTCCGTGGTCCCATAACAAATCAATACCTCTGGAGGTACTGAATTGGAGATTGATCGATCTTTGTTTCAGGTCAAAATTACGATCTGTGGATGAATGAATGGATGTATGAATGAGTCTGCCCTATAGACGGGTGTGACGTATGGGTGTGGCAGAAGTCGAATTCTTGACCATAGATGGCGCCACTTGAAAGTAAGTACAATCGCACCCCTCTGCCTTAACAGATATACAATGTGAGAGAGACAAGCAAACGTAATGGATGTCCAGCCTCTATGTTAAAAAGAAAAGTTCTATAAATCAGTTGATACTTGTCAAGAAGAGGTAGTGAAGATTAACTCTACAGTGGCATGTAAAAATAAGAGTTGAGCAAAACAGATCATTAAAGTGATTCGAATCAGTTCACTTTGGTGATATTTTGATTGTATTCCATTTTGACAAAAAAGCCTATTTATGGCCTAATATAAGTATATTATTTTCCTACTATCACAATCAGTTAAGCATCTTTAGCAATAGGTTAACAAACCGTGTTGGCTAAAGGGTTAGAGCTCCCCCAGTGAAATGACCCAGAAAGTTTCATTTTGTTTTCTTTTCCACAGTAACAATCAAGTCATTAGTCACGAAATTGTGGAACTGTAACCTCCACGATCATCAGTGATACAAATCAAGAGATTCGGATCTAAGATTCGAATCAAGTGATTCGGATCAATAATTCGAATCAAGAGATTTGGATCACTGATTCTGATTCAAATCATTATTTGAAAAAAGTGATTCTGATCAGTGATTCGTATTAAGCAATTCAGATCAGAGATTCGAGTCATATGATTTATATCACTATTTGAATCAAGTGATTCGTATCAGTCACTCCAATCAGGTAATTCAGTTCTGTGATTCAAGGTAGAGTTCTGTTCTGTGAACTAATTCAAATAATGTGATTCGGATCAGTGATTCGGATGAAGTGATTGAAATCATTTTTCGAACAAAGTAATTAAGGAGAGTTATTCAAAACAAGTGCTTCAGATCACTGATTAAAAAACAGGCTATTCAGATCAGGAATTCAAATCAAGTGATTCTTACCAATGATACGAAGCAAGCGATTCAGACCAGTGATTTGTATCGAAAGATTTGAATCACTGATTCGAATCAAATGACTCAAAGTACTATAATAACAAGTGATTCGAAACGGGTGGATCAGATTATTGATTAAAACTAAGCGATTCAAATCAAAGATTCAAATCATGTGAAAGTCGAGTCAAGTGATTCGATTCAGTGATTCCAATAGTGTGATTAGGATCAATCAATCAAATAACTTCGAATCAAGTTATTCGGACACTGATTCAAATCATGTGATTTAATTCACTGATTCAAATCAAATTATTCAAATCACTGTAAGAATCAGGTGATTCAGATCAGTTATTC